TCAAACATTATATCACAAACAACATTCCTGAGTTAGGCGAAATCAATACAAATGAAAGTATTGACCAGAGTGCGATCCAAATTGAGAACCTCCTAACCGAGGCGATCAATCACTCAATTCCTATGAAAACCATACAATATTTCTCTTCGGCACTTCCACAATATATCATTGCCAAAATACATCAAAAAAGACGTCTTTTACGTCAATACAAGATCAACAGAGACCCCCTAGTCAAAACAGAGTATAACCGCATCTCTGCTCGAATTAAGAGGGAAATATCTATCCTACAGGCTCGCCAGTGGGAAGATACTACCTCGAAATTGGATTACAGAGATGGGACTAAATTCTGGAACAAATTCAAAGTCCTAACAAAACAAAAAACTTCTCAACCATCCCATCTGTTGATCGACAACCAAATTATCAGTTCACCTGAACTGAAAGCCGAAGCATTCAGAAACTCACTCTTCGAAAACTTTCAAACACCCAATAATCCAAACTTTGATCGCCTATTCAAAGCCGAAACCGACTATGTGGTAAGAAATACTCTCTTGCATAACACTCCGAATCACATTCCTATCATGGACACTATTACTGACAGAGAAACGGAGAGTTATTGCCGCATCGGCAAAAATAACTCTCCCGGACCTGACAATATCAGTAGAAGGTGTCTAAAGCAACTTCCCGAGAGTATAATACCCCTAATCACCAAAACTATTAATGCATGTCTTAAAAATTACTATTTTCCTACTCCTTGGAAAATAGCTAATACAATAATGCTCCCTAAAAAGGGCAAACCTCGCACGAACGTGGAATCATACAGACCCATCTCTCTAATCAATTCTCTAGGGAAAGTCCTTGAGCTAATCCTTAAGGAGAGGCTCAGCGACTTTCTGGACACAAACAACATCATTCCCAAATTTCAGTATGGATTCCAACCAAAACGTTCCACTCACAATGCATTAATAGACTTCACAACCAAAGTTTCACAATCAATAAACGGCAACAGCATCGCCATCGCCACTTTTCTTGATGTTCAGAAGGCCTTCGACCAAGTCTGGCACGACGGACTTATTCGGAGACTACTGGACATCGGCCTCCCTCTTCAATTCATTAAAATAATCCACTCATATCTTACCAACAGAACGGTCAAGGTAAGAGTAGGCGATCAATTGTCCACCCCATTCACTCCTCGAGCAGGAGTGCCTCAAGGCTCAGTACTTGCACCATTGCTGTATATTACATACAACAGTTCCATACCCACTCCTCACATTCCTCATACCCATCTATTTCTGTACGCGGACGATACTGCTCTCCTGACAACAGGGAGTGGCTACGTTCCCATGACTACCTTTAGAAGAGCACAAACTCTACTAAACGGTGTCGAAAATTGGTGCAATAAGTGGAGAGTTACCCTAAACACCGCGAAAACACAAACTATTGTGTTTCGCGCCCCATTTACATCTGGGCGTCTTGCAGTCAACAATGTTGAACAAACGCCCCTGTACCTAATGGGAGACAGGCTCGTGACTAGCCCGACAGCTAACTACCTAGGCGTCCTATTTAACAGGACGCTTAATTGGGAAGCTGATCTAAAGGCAACTTTAGATAGGGTCAGAAACAGAGCCCGACTCCTAGTACCACTTGCAGGGACGTTTGGCAAGACGAATAACACCACTCTCACACATACTTATAAAACCTTTATTCGACCTGTTATAGAGTATAAGGCACACTTATACTGCCTTCTAAAGGAGAGACAGAGGAAGAAGCTACTCTCGACAGAGCGTAGTATCCTACGCAAAACTAACAGAAAGAGATGGGACTTCCCCTCTCGTGAAATCCATAGATTGGCCAACACCACCCCTATTCTCGAGAGAATAAAAACTCTCAACAGGAACTTCACCCTTAGAACTATCAACGGTCCTCCATCCAACACCCAAAATACACTAAAAAGTTCCTGCTCCTTCAGAGGACACACAGTCACCCGGATTCCCAAACGAAAATTCCCACATCCTCCCTCAATATTAATGCAAACATGCATCGATGATCTTCCGGCTGACTACTTCGAAATCTTAGAGGCCACTCCATATGCCTATCGCATAGCCTAGTCAATCACCTACCCTCAATCATCCTAACACTCACCCATCCCACTCCTAACCCCGGACAGGGGGAGATTGGTTTTTTGCGGTTTCCCAATCTCACTACTAAACGATACCTGTCCGTCCCTGAGGAAATAGCCGCAACTATTTTCTCACCTGACTCGACAGCTGCAGGCACCGCCGACCTAAACCCCAAAACCTCGCCGTTGGCGAACACAAACAACAATCGCGAGATTTTAGTGCAATACACTAGTCTCGTGTTGTTTGTGAACGCGTAAACGACGCTGGAACTGGGGATAAGGGGAAACGGTGCAGGCTGCTGTCGGGTCAGTACAATGACATTCACTTACATACACATACACACACAATTACACACAAACTCCACATTCCAACAGTGAAAGGGGTCCTCTTTCATGCTACCGATGCACCCTCACCCTCGGGACCCCCGACCGCCTGCAGCCCCCGTTACTTTACACGGGATCTGTGGGCGGCCGGGGAGAATCTAGACGGTTCGAGGAGTCTGTAACACCGAAATGGTAGCGTCCGTCACTGTTGGAATTCACACAAACCCACACTGAGCAAAGTGCGACAAGCCGACTCTCGAAAGCCGAGGCGCCTCCACTCACGAGCACACCCGTCCACGAAATTTCAGTGCAATACACTGGTTACGGGGACGGGTTAAGCTCGAGACTGCACAGGACCAATGGTCACTAGAGACCCGGCCTTGTCGCACCTAACTCAATAACACAAACAAGACAAACTGAAAAGACACAACATACTTCACAAACCCCTGTCTCTCTGATTCTCTGGCTCTCCGAAGTCAACTCCTCCAGGCGAAAAAGGTGCAAAACAACAACAACAGAAGATAACGGAGAAGATCTTTGCGCCAGCGGTTTCCGGGCGTTTGCCTTTGTACGACCACAATCAACATGCAAACTCAAGTCTGAAGAGGGTCAACCGACCCTAAACGGACACAATCATTCTTTCCCTTGAAATAAAGATATCCTTACCCTATCCCTCAAAGAATGAACATTGAATCATCATCATCTCATAGAGGCAGAATCGTCAGGTGTTGACTGAAGGTTCTCTTCTTCCCTACCCCGGCTTGTGGACGTGTTGAGTTCACAAGTTGTTCCATACCGCCGTTATCCGGAGAGCGTGTTGAGCTCTCCATTACCCGTACTCCGAAGCAGTCGTGTTGAGACTGTCGAGGAGTGTCCTATTAACCCGAATCACTTAAGGGACGTGTTGAGTTCCTTTCTTTTCTTTGTACCTATCGTCCGCTGTTATTAAATCGACACATCGTTCACGTAAAATTCCGAAAACACACTCGATTGCCGATAAAATTTCATACGACAAGGTCAAACTTAATTTGAATAAATAGGCCAGGTACTGAGAAGACTAAACTAAATTGTAAATATGTACATAAGATTTTTGTCAATTTAATTTAAGGAAGACAATAAAGTTTTATTTTTATTTTGAACTCTGTCTCTGACTGTCCAAAAGCTACCCGGATAGTGACTCCTACGAGAGGACGTCACACAAGTTTACCATTTCAAAGCGTTCGACTATTTTTTATGACCCTCGCCCTCTCTCATACCGTTCACAAAAAAACACATATTGAAAAAGAAGAAGAAACAAAAATGTCAAAAAATGGGATGATGACAGATGATGACATTTGATGCACATGCGTAATTGACATCACAGACTACTAATAACTAGACGTTTCACGTAGGTAGCTCAAGGTCAAACCAAACTTAATGTCAGTTGTAGTACCGATACAAATCTTCAGATGTCGCTTTACTCTGTCTTTACCTTTACTCTACAGTTTAGGTTTAGAACACAACTAAGAATTATAATTGTCAATCGCCAATTGTCATATTAGCGTCTATATTTTGATTTTGTTAAATTGTAAATTACAAATCCCCTACCTCAGTGATCTGTGTTTTAAATGTTCCTGGTGGTGTTCAAACAGTATTTTGCAGATTAATAATAATTAGTTAAATGGTTCTTCACAATAAATGTTGTATCCTACAATGTACCAATTCGTCATTAATTAGACATGCCTTCCCAAAGCCTGATAAAGACATTACACGATTTAGGAAGTGGCTTAGTGTTACAAATAATCCTAATTTAGATATGATGAATGCTAGTACAGTTTTTAAAACAAAATGAGTCTGCCGCAGACACTTTGAAGATAAGTTTGTTTCTTGATGGAGTCATAAATTGTATAAAAATGCAATTCCTAGCTTACATTTGTATGGTGAGTCCATTTTTATGGTGATCATATTATTCAGTAGAAGAGTTTCTTAACGAATAGTGCTATGTACAAGTAACTAAACTATTTGTATAAATATATATTTCAGTATCACATGCTGAAACTTAAATGTATTAGTTCGTAAGGATTTATTAAGCAATTTATTTAAATTTTAGAATACATTGTGTATTTTATTACTTATCTTTTATTTTGTGATATTGACGATTTATGTAATTTCAGTAAATTTTAAATTGCTATTTTTCTGACTTGTTGTAAGCTTTGTCCATAAAATTGTACAATTTTCAGTGGTAATAGCATATTTTTATTCTATTTTAAATTACAAGTTGTTTTACAAGTGTTAAATAAATAAATAAATTACATTTTGTTTTATTTTTTCCTAAATGGTATTGTGTATATTTGAATTTAAAAATGTCAAATGCATTTTTTTTTCAAATATATTAAATTATATTTAAATATTTTAAGCTTTATTTAAATTCTCCCACCAAAATTAAAATTTGAAATTCCCGCGTAATTTCCCGGTTGAATTAGTTCCGATACGAATCTTATGGAGCGCTGAATTTCATATCCAACTAAAGCATTGTCGTGGAACATCTAGGAGGTAGGTGATCTGTGATTGACATAACCTTGTATTACAAATTAGAAGGTCGAATTAAATAATTATTATATTTGGTCTATTTAATTAACATTTTGTTTATTGTTGTCTAACTAGGACTAGAATTTTTGCATATATTTCAACATTTATTCATCAAAATTTGTATGTATATTAATTACTTAAGCCCATCCCATTAAAAATATTTAAGTTAATATCGCGCCATCTTTATATTGGTTTGATATAAATTGAAACCATTTAAATTTTATGTGAACTGAATACTTTAAATACACATTTAAATGAACAGAATAAAATACGCTAATCCACTTTTATTAGATGGTGAAGCAACAGTAGTTGTGGAAAATAACGTGAGGCTATATGATGGAGATCAAAAGGTAATTCTTAAACAATCACTAAAATTAAATTAATTGAAACAAGTTTATTTTTGACAGACCTCATTTGAAGGTGGAGAATTGATAATTACTACACATCGAATTTTATGGGGCCGGCCAGGACAAATAGCTCGAGGGCAAACATGTTTAGCTTTACATTTATATCTAGTTGTTTTTTTAGAAGAGGAGTCCCCTAGTGCCTTTAGCTTCAGTCGATCAAGAAAAGTAGTAGTGCACCTAACAGAGACAAATGGTAAGTACACCTTTATCTTTGTAGCCAAATTTATGCTTTTTTATTATATATGTTGACCATTGGTTAATTGTTTGTTAAGTCAATAAAAAGTGTATTTAGCAATTTTTTGATAGTATAGACCAGGTACCCATAATTTTGATAATCTTGATCTACAAAATATGTGATTGTAATGTCTGTTAATGTTCTACCCGAACATGAATTACAAAACTGAGAACATGTATGTCTTACCAACAAAGACGCCTATAGAAGCTTTTATGGAGATAATGTCGCCCATTTAAATATAAATCCAAAAGTTTTAGAACCCAGTCAAAGAGAGACTGGTAAAATGTGATTATCATTCTTATGAATTTGGGATCAAAACCAGGTTGATTTCTTTAAATTATTTTTGGTATACCATTTTATTTTTATATTGCACTATTTTTATAGTAAATTACAAAAATAAATATTAGAAATTCATAATGTACTTATAAGATATTTTTTTTTTGTAGAGATCTTTGTAGGATATCTGAATTTATTATAATAAGTACTTTTATGTGTAAATGTGATGTTGAACTGCCCTTATAAATTGCGTCAGAGTGAAATTTTTTAACTGACTTCTTTACATTTTCTTTGTAAAACTAATATTTTTCATTCACTGTTAAAAGTAAGTTTTTCAACAAAAAAAAAAATCGAATTTTTAGAGGGTTTTTTGAGAATAGCTTGAAAAATGTGCATTTAATCAAAAAAAAAAACTGTAAATATAAAAATTATATCTTTTAGAAACTACAATACAATACAGAAAATACAAACCGCGATATGGCATGTTAAAGGTTACATTTTTTGTCAAATAGATAATTTGAAATATTCAAAGCCAAATAACTGGAAAACTTTGCATTGTTAGAGGAAAACTTACCAAATCTTTTTTCAAGTATACAATTAAACCTTTCAAAAAAAAAGTTTCTGGCATAAAAATTGAGGGACTTTCCCAATTAAAATTGATCTTCACCCTTCTGTAATTGTTTTTATATATTTATTATCAATACACCCAAGAAGTTTGACCTATTTAAAAGGCCTAATTTTTGAAAAATTGGGAGTTTAAAAGCTCCAAAAATACTGGAGATACAAAAAAAATGATTAAGTACCTACTAAATTGTAGCTTTTTTAATATCTAAAATTTCCTTGTTCATATGATTTTCTTTACAAATATCATCTATTTCACCACAGCACTTTGACAAGATCTCTTTGAAAAAGTTATACTACTCATTTTTCTATTCTCTACCTTATTGTTTTAGATTCTTCAAATGGCCCACAGTTGACAAGCATCTACAACTTTATTAAATTATCTTTCAGAGAGGGTTATACCAACAATGTTCTATCTATCCTTAACGATTTACTTCAAAATAGGCCATGGGAGCCAAAGGTTGTACAAGTTCCAGTGCAACAAAGACCTATTGTTCCTACTATTAAACCTAGATTGGGAATTGTGGGAATAGAAAGAAGTATTCAAGCTAAACAAAAAGAAACAGATGAAAGTATAACTTTGGCTTTCCAAGATTTAGATAAGTTGATGGTCATGGCAAAAGATATGGTGAATATATCAAGGACAATATCTACGAAAATTAAAGAAAAACATGGTGATATAACTGAAGATGAAACAGTACGTTTTAAATCATATTTGCTCAGTCTTGGTATTGATGATCCGGTCACCAGAGATTCCTATAAATCTGATAATCAATATTATCAGAGCTTAGCTAGACAAATATGTAATTTTATTCAAAAGCATATTGAGGAAATGGGTGGCATGATGGCACTTACTGATGTTTTCTGTTGGGTAAATAGGGCGAGAAGTTTGGAACTACTATCACCAGAAGACATTCTAAATGCATGTAAAATTATGGAAAGTCTAGATCTTCCTATTAAGTTATTTCAGTTTTCTTCTGGAGTTATGGTACTTCAATTAAGCAGCTTAGATAGTTTAAGTATTGCAGAAGCTACAGCAATATTGGTAAGTAAATTCTATGGGATTAAGCTACAATTGATTGTAATGAAAATTACAATCTTCACTCAATATTTATGAGTGTATTGAATATTCTTTGTGGTATAATAGAAATTATGGAATATTCCTGAAAATTATTTATTTGTTTATATATAACATATTTTCTTGTGCTTAATTGAAGCATGCTAGACAGAATGCAGCTGTAATCATAATCTTCACAGTATGTTTTAACTTTTCTATCAGCCTTCTTACTAATGATGTTTCTGATCAAAATTTTGTGACATCCTGTACACCGTTTTTCTTTTTATTATCTATATCGCTTTGCCGGAGTGTATGGTATTTTTTGGTGTAAGGGGTCGTAAAGGTTACAAATTGTCTGTATTTATCAACGCCTTTATGAATTCCGATCTAAAGTACAGGATAGGTAACTTGTTGTTTTTTCATGTTTGCTATTATTTAGCAAACAAGCATTGACTAATGCCATTTTTGCTTCTAATCCATTTGTTTGTTTTTTTGTCTATAAGTCTCACCCCGAGCATTGATCTTTCCATTGCTCTTTGTGCTTTTACTATTTTATCCATATTAGACTTGGTGATTGATTGTAAATTCTGGTTTTCAAATATTGTTCTATTTTAGTGCTTTTCAAGATCCAACATAGTTTTACAAAATCCTTCCCATGCTAACCTTATTTTTCTGGTAATTTCGGCAGTTTAATTTTCTTTGTTAACTTTTATCTGTCCCAAGTAGATCTATTCACTTACTATTTCTAAATTTATGCGTTATTTTTCTAATGTTTGGTGTATTTGTCATAATTTTTATTTTTTCCAAGTTCATCTTAAGGACTTCTTTTTCTGAAGCTTGAAATAGTTGCATCATCATGGTCTGTAGTTCTTCGAAACTTGTAGCAAATATTACAATGTCATCAGCGTATCTCAAATGACTCAGTTTTCTTCCATTAACATTTATTCCTTTATCTACCCAATGTCTTTGAACACATCTTCCAGTTCAAGTGTGAATAGCTTTGTGAGATAATATTTCCCTGGCGAACTCCTTTGTTGATTCATATAGCTTTGGTTTTCACATCTATTTGTATTTTCATTGTAGCTTTTTTGTAAATAATTTTATCTTATTATGTATTAATGTTGTCAAACTTTGATTATTTTTGTGCATATTAGGGCTTTCCCTATTTTTAAAAAAATAACTTCTCATCATTGAATGTAGCGAAAATAAAAGGAAAAGAAAGGGAGGAAACCTAAAAATAATGGTTGAATAATGTACAAAAATCATTTTTGTTTATTTATTATATTATTTATTTATATTTTAGGATCAAACAATATCTATGTACATATTACATTTGCTTAAAATCACTTATAACATACATTAATAATTGATTTTATATACAACTATTACAGGTGGAAGACAAAGAGTCCATGTCTGCTGAAGAACTTTCACAGAGTTTGGGCATTTCATTAACCTTAGCTAAAGAAAGGCTTCTAACAGCAGAGAAATATGGAAAATGTTGCAGAGATGATTCTATTGAGGGCCTAAGATTTTATCCAAACTTGTTTCTAACCAGAGAAGAATAAGACATATTTATACTTACAAAGAATTAAAAGTCAGCTGGTGTGTGATTTAAGGAAGTATTTGAAATTACATAAATGCTTTTTAGTAGTACAGGCAAAAGTAAGCTTGATGTTGGAAGTAAACTTACTTTTGTCTAATTTATGAGTCTAATATAAACCTAGCAAAGTCCTTTGGAAAAGTTTGATGGATCAAAGTGTATACTTCTTTGCAAATTCTTTTTACCTTTGAAGATGTAGGATCAAATATATATGACAAAAGAATAGTTCCATAAAACATGTAATAATTTACTGTAATCCAGTCAACCTGACACTATTGCCTCAAATAATTAAATATTGCAATAAAACACCTTTTAGTTAACAAGTTTTTTTAATACTTCTGGTATACACTTATGTATATATGTTGCTAAATGTAAGTATTCTGACATCCACTTTTAATTTATCAATTAATATAGTGAATTTACTGCCTTTTATGAGATACCTACTACAATGAGAGCCAATTACACAAAGAATATTCCATTGTTACAACATAAATCCTTCACAAAAATTTTCTCAATAATAAACTAGTATGACATAAAATAATGAATATGTGATGGATGAATGAAGCAAACAGTTCCTTAAAACAACTATTAAGTTGTCTTCCTAATAGAAGAGTATATTCAATTTTTTAAGATGTGCGTTGCTAATCAGGCTACTGTGAAAGCCTATCATAGAACTCTGCGATTATAATGGTAACACTGACGATATCAATCATTGGATGCTCGGGTGTGTATATAATGATGCTGCGAAGTATCATATTGGAAAATCTGATAAAAGAACAAATACCTTTTCCTCAGAGTCAATCTTCTATTTTATATATCTCTCATTGTAATATTAGGCTTAACCAAATTTTTTGGGGGTATTTAAAAGGGACTAAAAGAAAAATTTAGGATGGAATGTGAATGTATAAATCTAGCTTTGTTCCATCTATCCTTATGTTATATATTTATCTCTAGCCATTGCCTGTCTTGTTTTGTAATAAAGTCGCTATGAAAAGTATCCTTATATTATGGAATTCCTTGTTTGTTCTAAATATTCACTTTGAGTTGGTTAGGGCCCTGAATGTAACGAATGAAAGTATGTTTTTTGACAATCTACTGATTCTTGTGATACTGATGTTTACAATAAGGACTTTGCTTAGTTTGTATCAGCTGTATGTAAATACTACAGATGTGTTTCAATTTATTTCAATTTAATAAAGAAACTAACAAGACCATATAAGACATACTGTATAAGTCATTAAAACATTCATCTACTTAATTTCATCATTTTGAGATCATTCTACACATTATTTTATGTTTGTATTTATTTTATATTACAATTTACAGAGGCTTTGTTAAAATTAACATGTATTATTAAATTATTATATATAAATCAGGTAACACTTTTTGGTGATCTCTGACTCTGACCTTTGAATCCTTTTTTATTATTGATATTTGTTCAGTTAGAACATGTGCTTAAGTTCTAATGTGTTAATTGGTGTATTCCAAATGCTGCTTTTATATTGTTTCATCAGTTCTAAATACAGAACATCAGTAAAAATTTCCTTTGATGAAGAATAAATAGTTCCTGAATAGCTATTATCATATGGATCCAACAAATTTATTTGAAAGTACAAAGCTTATAAAAATAAATCATTAATTATATGGCGTAGGGATGTGGCGACCCCACCGCCCAAAGACTGTCTTTGCAATCAGCCAAAGGTAGCAAGTAGATACTTCTCTACAATCCCAGTAGTGAACAGATCTACTAAAGGGATGCAACCCTGCCTTAAGCAAGCCATGGTTCTCTCCCAATTCCCTTTACGTGGGAGACACCATGTCCTATTCCTAAAATCCTTTAAATTGCTTTTTCTTCCTTATACCTATCACTAACCAGATCCTAAAAAAGCTCAACTGTCAAGACATGAATATATAAACGTCAAAATGAAGAAATATCAGAAAAGTTCTGAAAAATAAACTCCACAATGTCAGTGGTGTTTCAGACATACATATATTATCTTACAAAGTATTAGTATAATAAAACCTGATATAGGAAAGATACAAAATAAAATATAATAATTTGTCTGTATATAAAAAATCCTAAGTTATTCTAACTTAGCTTAAAATTGCAGATAAACTGACAGAATGATTGTCTACCTATTGTCCATAATTCTTTGGACATTAAAATTGTTAAAACTTTACGGTAAAACGATAATACCAATTATGGATTAATCCTACAATTATTTTTAAATGAGCTGCAGCTTTAAATATGTTCAAATATATACAAAATAATTTAAGCATTTAGTTTCCTAGATTATAATAAAGAACTTCACAATGTGATTGAATCTTTTAAAGTGATGAACTCTTTATTTATGTACAGTTATAGACATTTGTACCATTAATAAATTCTTGATATGTGCAGTCGTTACCTCATATGAAGAATGGCATCTTGATTAAATGTAATGATGTATCCATATGGTTGTATGTTTCAAATGTACACATTTTATGTTTTACATTAAAAGTCATTGATAGTGTGAAGATTATGGCGTTGGATTTAAAATTATTATGGTTAAACAAACTGTAATATCTGTTCATGTTGTGATTATACAAAAACTAAAGGAACTTAATTTTCTGGAGGTATAAAAAGGCTCTACACATACATTTTATGAATATCCAGTCTGGATAATGAGTGTCAATAAATTTGAATATGGTTATTAGTAATTCTAAAATTATAAATACTTCTGAAAGCATACTGTTACCCAATGGGAAGAATTTGATTTTTCCAGCGTACAATGATAAATTTAACAGGATTGAATGTTCCAAATATATTCTTTTATGTTGTACATTAGAAGTCATTGATAGTGTGAAGATTATGGCGTTGGATATAAAATTAAAGTTAAACAAACTGCAATATCAGTTTATGTTGTGAATGTACAAAAACTACAGTAGGAATTTAGTTTTCTGAATGTGTAAAAATTTTCTACACATACATATGAATATCTAGTCTGAATAATTAGTGTCAATCAATTTTTAAGAATATTAATTCTAAAATTATAAATACTTCTGAAAGCATATATACAGCCTTATCACTGTTACCCAATACAAATAATTTAATTTTTCCAGCATACAATGATGAAATGAATATGATTAAATGTTTCAAATATATTCTTTTATGTTCAACATTAAAAGTCATTGATAGTGTGAAGATTATGGTGTTGGATTTAAAACTATGGTTAAACGAACTGCAATATCAGTTTGTTGTGAATATACAAAAACTATTGTAGAAATGTAGTTTTCTGGATGTATAAAACTGCTCTGCATATACATATGAATATCTAGTCTGATAATGAGTGTCAATAAATTTTAATATTATTATGGATATTAATATTCTAAAATTTCTAAAGCTAAAATTATAAATACTTCTTAAAGCTTATATTATAAGATTATGGTGTTGGATTTAAAACTATGGTTAAACGAACTGCAATATCAGTTTGTTGTGAATATACAAAAACTATTGTAGAAATGTAGTTTTCTGGATGTATAAAACTGCTCTACATATACATATGAATATCTAGTCTGATAATGAGTGTCAATAAATTTTAATATTATTATGGATATTAATATTCTAAAATTTCTAAAGCTAAAACTATAAATACTTCTTAAAGCTTATATTATTAAATCAAATCTCTGCTACATATATCACTGTTACCCTATGGAAACAATTTCGTTTATTCAGCAGCATACAATGATGAAGAAAAGTTTTAATATATTCCTTCATACTGTATATAAGTAATAATTGATAGTGTGAAGGTTATGGTATTGGAGTTACAAATAGTAATATGTCCTTCCATGATTACTTAAAAATCTGATGAATATATTCTTGATTTATACTAGCAGCCTCCATTGTTACTCCTTGGAAATAATGTCAAGTTTCTTGAGTTACAATAATGACTTCCACAAGATGAGTTGTTGATATTTCAGATACAAATAATTTTCTCATATATCTTCAGCAAGGATAATCTACAACAAAGATAATTTTAATATAATTACATTCCAACTTAAGCAGTGGTAAATTTGAAGTCACTTTTTTAAGTTTACTGTTTTTATATGAAATATTGGTCAAAGATAGACATTGTCTGTGAGTTCTGATCTCCTTTATGCTTTATGTTATATTTCTTCAATTTTTGAAGATACTTGGGTTGTTTGTTCATTTTCAATTATATAATATGGGATATGTTAAGAAACAAAGCCTTTGATTACTGTAACATAAAATATTATAATTGCCACAATCTAGTTACTTAATTCTACTATAAAACCGTTGGAAATAAGGACAGCTAAGATTTAATTCAATACAGAGCATTAAAAATTAGCTTGTTTATTAAAAATTAATGAATGACATTCGGATACAATTAGCGTCTCTTAGCAAAGACAATGACGTCAACTTTGCTAAGTATCAAGACAATTACGCTACACACACACACACACACTACACTAGGTACCTGACTGTACCATGCCAATGATCATAGTTGTCAAGGCATTAACTCAATAAAAAAGAAACATTTGAAATCAAGTAATTTTGTAGCATCTATGTGCAATTCTTTTTAAAAAATTACTAAGAATGAAATATGTATAAGTGAATGGTAGTGCTATTTATTGAAATTAAATCTTAACTGTGTTATTTTCACATACTCACCAATTGAGTATTAGAAATCGGTTCGTGATGGGTTTTGCATAGATAAAGTGAGGTGTTTTGTGGAATGCAAATTCTAGATTCCCCATGTTAGTTCTTTTATCCTTTGCTTTAACATGTTTAAGCACAAATTTGGGCAATTTCCTGTATTGATTTCAAACATAAGAAATCTCCAGATTTCTATTGTTTTTAAAACTTATGAAAAAAACACTTTTATCTTACCTCACAATATTCACAAAAGTAAATTTAACAATAAAATTATATTTTGTTAATAGCTGTTACTGCTTTTATTTTTATTCTGTTTTAGGTGATAATCAGTATTAAGAATTTCCACAGAACAGTTTTGCTTTATTGAACTTCAGCTCATTTGTTCCTTTATAGAAATATGATTGTATTAGATGTTGTTATACCTAAAGCAGCATTCGCTTCAACGAGTCTTAAGTTCTTTTCAAGAATAAAACCAAAATGTTACTTACCACTTATCTGTTATTTTTAATTTGTGAAATTGTATATAATACTACAAATATCTTTTGTATATATTTTAAATAAACTTACTTTTTCATTAAATGTTTTTTTGGCAAATCTATAGAATAAGTGCCGAGAATTTGACACAAACGTCATGTCAAATTTGTGTCTGCGGTATTGCCATGTCCTTATTATGTGTATGTTTTATGCCTCAAATATGCTTTGAAACAGTACATTTTTATTATATTATTTTATGAAATCGGGTATTTTTTAAAATTTTTTGAATTTATATGAAACACGAACGAATGAATATTTGTTTCTTTTGATATTAGTTGCAGTTAGTTATTAGAAAAAAAATTATAATTGGCCTTTGGTAGATTAGTAAATAAACTTGGCAATACTGTCAAAATTTTGAAAACAGTAGTTGCCAGATTGCAACAGATGTTTAGCAGATTTCAATTTTATGATTTTTATGACTTATAATTTTGGGGTGAAATGGTACCTGAATATCGTTTTGTTAATGTATTAGCTAGTTACTGGAGCTTGTTCAGATAGATATTTTTTCAAATTTACGTTGCAGAGATTAAATTATCATTATTGACAATTTAATCCTTAAAATCTGAATAACAAAGTAAAAATATATCGGTAAAGATGTTTAATTAAATTTAATAACTTAAGAATTTAAAAGCTTAAAAAATTCAATGAAAATTATAATAAATTAAATTTAAATTAATTAAACTACTTTCAAAAACTTAAAAAGAATGTTGAATGTTAATATATCGCATGCACTTTCAAGGATTTATTTCTGATATGGCAACACTGCCAAATACAAATCTGTCACTAACCTTCTGTCAGTTCCTCGGCACTTGTTCTATAGGTCTGCCGTTTTTTTTGCGACAAAACAACTTTTAACTAGTAATATCTATCCAAAACTAAGTGTAAATATAATCCGTGAAGAGTGTGTAAAAAACGCACACAGAAAAATGTAGACAGAAAAAAATCAAAATATTGTTGGCCTTTTACCATATAGTCACCGCATCCAAGGTAGAATTTTAACACGATAAAAACAAATTATTTCTTTCTGTAGTTATAATGCTCTGTATAAAATTAATCACAAAATATTTATTCCAAGGTATCAATGATCAAATTTTGTTCTACGCCCGAATAGAACTTTTGAGTAAAAGTAGCGACAGTAAAAAAGAAGATTTATATTTATGTACCGTACATAACCTATGAATTCCAAATATAATAATTGAGTGATTCTGGTTTGAAAAAAGATAATAAATATGATAACTTACGAAATATTAATGTTATTTAGAGTTATGCCCAAGGTAATTTTGTCTATAGTATATATTACGAGATTATTTTAAGTTAACTTAGTTATTACGAGAATAACTCTAGAACCTTGTTGCACATTTTTTGCAATATTCTGCAATTTCTTTTTATATGAGATCTGAAATGATTCTACTAAATTCTTACCTCATAATATTAGAATCAATCTATCTATCTATCTTAATTTTAATCAAAGTAATTGATATATTTATAACACACTATTTTTGTAGACAGAGTTAAAAACAGTAATAAAAAGGACAGCAGGAGCTATCTTGGAAAAAGGTGGGATAATTAGAAAATTGGAAAATTTAGGAACTAGGGACATGCCATACAAAACCAGTGTACATGGAATTAACTATAAACAGGCAAGGTAAATGTTACATTAAACTAATCAAAACAATCAATATAGTAAGTTTTTGTTTCAGTTACTTTTTATATGAGTGCAATATTCCTCCTAGTACAATAGAATCTCTATTAGATGAATATGGTAGAGATGTAGATGTAATCAGACGACAGCTGTACAGAAAAAATCAGCCTACATCTAATGAATGTACTTTAGATGAAGAATTGTTACCTCCACCTTATAGAAAGGATGTGCAAGACCTTATTGAGCAAGCAAGAAAACATGATAAACCAAAGTTCAAATATAATACAGGATTAGATTACTATCCTTTCCAAAAGTAGTTATTTTATTTATAAGTAAAGAATTAAAGTAGTCATTAATATTAATTGTTTCATTGATAACCTAAAAACACCTTGAGAAGCATTGAAAACTTTAATATAATGTTTTAAGAATTATAATAACCTCTTTAGTTTTTTTTCAATATTTTAGAATTGGTAAAGTTTTGGATAAAAATGAAAAACATATGCAATTCACTCTTTCCTTTATTAACACTTAAAAATATGGAAAACTTACATTATATATAGTAATACAGGTAACATCAAGGAACATAAAGTTTGAATTCCACCTGAGATTACAAAACAAACAAGTTAAAAATACTTATGTTGGTACTGAAATAAGTAACACACATTTTAATAATCCATGAGATTTCATTTTTTTATAAATACATCAGTAGCAATGAGCATTTTAAAAGCTTTATCTAAAGTAAAAAATATATAAATAAAGAAATTTAGTAATAAAAGAGACTTGTACCTTGTATAAAGAATTTTATGAAAATTTGAAAGAAATTCATATAGATACCACCACAGAAATTTATAGAAATCGGCCCACTTTAAACATTTGACTCAAAATATTTTTTCAAAAACTATTACTTGGATCAAAAAAAGGGATGTTCTATTTGAAAGATAATTTAATATAATTTTGTATTTATGAAAATTTATTTTGACTTCTTATGTTAATCATTGTAAAATTAATGCATCAAGCAAATTAACTTTATTGTTAACACAAAAAGGGTATTTGACAATTAAAAATTTAACAAAGTTTTAATAATGGGTATGATCTCCTCTTGCATTAATAACTTTTCTCATAAGATTAGGCATATATCTAATCAAGTTCGCTATTGTTTCTTGTGGAATTGTGTCGCAAATTCCTCGGCAGAATGTAGTAGGATCTGGTTACCAATATTGAAAGAGGAAGTTATCAATAAGAAAATACCAGTATTAGTAAGTCAGTAACATGTAGAGGATACATCATTTATGTTTTTTTAAATAACGTTACATATAAAATCAGAATTTTGATGTTTGTTGAAGGTAAACTAAATTCACGAACAAATACTTACAATGACAGGATAGTATTATGAGTTTTTTTCCTGGTTTTTCCCTCATAATTTACTATGGAATCACTAACAGGAGAATTTTACTGTCATCATGTCATGTGTTTGTCTTTTAAAGACGAATTACATGCTATGATTTTTTTCTGACGGATATTCTCAAGTTAAAGTTAATTTCATGTAATCGAATGAACTATCTTATAAGTAAAGTCGTCCCAGGAGCGCAACTCAACAATATTGGCAATATCATTTTAAAGTCGTCTACTTTAAAATGCATAATGTATGTCTGAATTGTCAATATAAATGAGTCAGATAAAATTAAATTATTAGAAGAATTTTTCACTATGTAACAAAAAACAAAATTTACTGTTTGTATTTTGAGAACGATTTCCGAAGTGGAAATTGAAACGTCAATAAACGTATTTTTATCTTTAATTGTGGCTTATTCCCAGTTTAATAGTAATTAGTTTCTTGTGGGATCTTAAACCACTTTTCTAATACTGTGACAATAATCTCTGAGATTGAAGAGATATGAAGTCTAGCTTGAATTTTTTGTTCTAAAGCTTCTTGAATGTTCTATGGAATTGAGGTCTGCACTGCACGCTAGCCATTCCATTGCCTGAAAACAGACTTCTTTAGGTATGTGGCCTTGCGTTGTTCGGCATAAAAATAAATTCGTCTTCAATGTAGTCAACATAAGGTACCACATGCATTGTTAAAACCTCCTCGATGTATCTAACATCAGATAAAGCCTCTCGCTTGTGAAGATGGTTACCCCTACGAATGAAAACAAGGTCAGTTCCTGCCCCCATAGAAATACTACACCAATTTAATATAACTGCCAAAAATTTAATAACAGCAAATTTCGTAAGATGTAAATTGGAGCTGGAAGGTCAGATAATAGAACAAGTGATGGAGTTTAAATATCTAGACATCACATTATCTAGCTACAGAAAGCTCAAAACTAAAGTGGAATATCAAGTGAATAGCAAACAGGTTGCCTGAATGAAACAATATGGAGAAATAAAAATATCAGGAAAGAAATGAAAGCCAGAATTTACAAAACAGTCATCAGATCAATGACATATGTGGCAGAAACACAACCTGACATAGAGAGGACAAAAAGAATGTTAGAAACATCAGAGATGAAAACACTTAGAAAAATTGATGGTAAGACACTATGGGACAGAGCTAGAAGTACAGATATACAATGTAGATGCAAGGTGGAGAACATTAAGAACTGGCTAAGAAATAGAAGAGTAGAATGGAACGATCATATAAACCGAATGACAACAAATAGAGTAGTAAAGACGGCAAGAGATGGTTCCCCAATAGGAAGACCACGAAAACGATGGAACAACAACTTAACGATGGATCCAGACTCCTTATAACATGTTTATTTTCTATTAATGCAATAACTTATGCAAAACGAGCAATATGCAATTTTTAATAGCAAAGGCAATCATAACAAATTTTGACAAATTTCTTACTATCATAATAAACACTTTTCTATGTTTATTGGTTCCTACGCATATAAATGATAAGTAATCCATGACAAACTTATACTCATGTTAAAGCGTATTAAATTATCTTTCAAACAGTATATCTTTCTTTTTGATCCCAGTAATTAGTTTCAGAAAAAAATACAGTTCAAGTCAAAATTTCTATGCAGACATGTTTATCATTTCCTTAAGAAATTATGTGGGGACTTCGGCAGAGTATGTGAAGATTGTGGGAGGCATGTATAAGGAAGTAACAACTATTGTTATGACAGGTGTGAAGAATTGATAAATTTAATGTGAAAGTATGATCACATCAGGGCTCAGTGTTTAGTCCTTATTTATTCTCAGGGTAATATTCCCTGGTGCTTAATGTATGATGTATTTAGGAAATACTTAAAGGGATTTGGAAGAAAAACTGGAATGACAGAAACCAGCTGTTGAGGAAAAAACTTATTAGGACAAAAACAGAATATTTGGAATATTCATTCACATATATCATACACTTACAATCACTGTATGTTTATACTATGCTTAAAGTTTCCAATTGGATTATAAAAATGTAAGAAGTTTTCAAATATTTTAAAAGTCCCGTTATTTTGGAAATGCTAGCGGCTTTTTTAAACCAGACATAAAACGTGAATTCTCTGATGCACTGATTTACTAATGATTTATTCCTTCTGTTAGGCAATGGAATGTATAAAATTGGAATAAAGAATTGGTTTCGAAATTGGAGACAAGAAATAACATATCTCTGTTTATATTTTCTGATTTCATTCTTGTAAGGCTTCGCAAATCTTTCTAAAATATTAGGCATTTTTGGTAATAAGTAGAGTTCGGATAATTAGGCATTTATAATACGACCATCTTTCTAAGAGACTCAAATTCCATAAACAAGGGATCTACCTGTTTTATGAAATGATCCATTGTTTGTATAATTTAACACCTTCAACAATAACACCCCACTGAGCTGAATATTAATGAATCTCTTAGAAAAACGGTAATACTATAAATTTCTTTTTGTGATTTTCGGGTTGAAAACTAGTTTCTGACAGACGAAATAATGAATGACCAAGTTCTCTTGAATTGAATAGTATTAGGATAAAGTATGTAAGTAATTAACTCACTTCGAGAAAAAGAAAAGATCTTAAATCACTTCAAAAAACAAATAAGTTGAATAAAACCTAGGTAAATATAATTTACCTATCCCAATTAAAAACACTACTCATTTTCGATCCAATTATTGTTTTGCCGCAGATATTACAAAAGATACGAATTAATGGGATTTTAAATGGTTTTATATATTACTCTTAATACTAAATTTAGTAAGTTTATCGTACTTATATATTATCTAATTGTGGAAAATCTCGAGTTTCGATTTTTTCCTTAATCAAATTGTTATAATAGGCTGTTATTGCAACTAATTTTTTATTGATGAAATTTTGTTCTATTTCTACTTGGCCGCCTGGTCCTGCTCCTTTAGCCAACTGTAACAGAAAAAATATTAGCGTTGTAATACTGTGATCATTACCGTAAACATGGCCTACTTTGCCCACTGTAGAGGTTATATTTGTAAAAAAATACTTGGCAACATAGCAAAGTACCACAGTGTGATCTAACCTGTCTGACTAAATTATAACGCTGGTAGTAAGGTAAGAAATTTGAACACGTTTTTGTAGTTTTTGTTAGGGTAAAACCTAAGCACTGCTGGGTATACAATAGTAGGTATATTGACTAAATTTTTATCTGTACGTCTTATTTAATATTGTCTTAACTGAATTTGCGATGAACGTTTATCAGTAATCACATGCTTTTTCTTTATAAAACAAAATCCAAGTGGGCAATGTTGTCCTGTTATTTGTCTCTAATTTTTGTTTTGTATTTTTATATAAAAAGTTTTTTTGAGACATTTAAAAGGAAACTGAAGAATGCTTTTGAGTCTTTAACGCCATGTATTAATTTTTACGTAAAGTAGCATGTCAGTATTTACCTAATTATTTTTTTTTTGTTTAAAGGACCAATCAAAATGCCAAGAAAAAGCAGAAAAAAATTGGGAGCAAGACAGTTTGTTAACTAATCTGAAGCCATGCTTGAACGAGCTGTGGAAGCAGTGAGAGCAGGTTTAAGTTCCCGTCATAGTCTCGGCGCCGAACCGGTCCTGTTTGGTCATAGAACTATCAACTATCTGACAGCTGGGAAACTCTTTGTCAACTGATGAGTGTGAATGCCGGCAACATATTTGTATTAAAGAATATTTTGTATGACGGATTGTTCGGTTCGGCGCAATCACTGTGACGAGACGTGACTGATGTGTCTGAATCGACCTTTAAGGTGCCACGCCGAACCATTCTGAACAAAATTAAACGAACGCATGTTTTCTCAATTGACCGATGATACAATTAAAAAAGAAAAGAAAAAATTGCTTAATACTGAACCCAGTCAATCAGTTCATTTTAAAGAAGAAGAATCAAGACGGAAGTGGAAACAAGGATTTAAGAGGAGAAATAGAGCGAGGCGAATGACGACGAAAATTTAGCAGAAGAAATGAATATGGAGATGAATAACAGTGACGATGATAATGGTGGTAAAGGCAGATGAATTAAATGAAGAAGAGCAGGATGAAGTGGTTGAAAATATAGAGTCCGATAAAAATATCGAAGTAGATGGAAATAATCTAAAAATTGGTACTTTTGTGGTGGTCCAATTTCCTAAAAAAAAAACGGTAAACATTTCATCGGGATTATAGTAGAAATAAATGACGACAATACATATTACACCGTAAAATGTTTTCTTAATAAAAGTGTAATAACTTTTTTTGTATTTTTGTAATAAAAGTTTTTTAATAAAAAACTCAGAAAAATACAGCTTTTTGTTCTAGTTTTTATTAAAAAATAAAATTCAAAACGTATATCGTGGGCAAAGTAGTCAAATCAAAACGTATGCCGTAGGCAAAGTAGTCCTATTAGGTTTCAATTTTGCCGTACAGTAAATTTAAAGCTGGTGGGCAATGTTGAACTTTTTCGGGGCAACTTTGCCCACCTTTTTTTCTCGACTTTGTTAAAGATTGTGATAAAAAATGATAATTACATTTTCTGTTAATATCTCGCGAGTTCTCAAAATAATTTTTGTATTTATTTGTATGTACTAAGAAAGAAAATATTTAAATCAAACTGAAATTTGGTGGACAAAGTAGGTCATGTATACGGTATATTATAAATACACTATTTATAATCTACAAGATATGATTTACAATCCAAACAAAGATGATTTAATAAGTGAAAATCACATTGAATACAACAAAAATTTGAAGTTAAACAACGTCTAAGGAAAGCTGATTGACTGAAACAGCACTTTGCAATGTAATGCTTGAAATAAGAGTCGACAAAAGAATAAACTTTTTAAAAACAAATATCACTGTTTAGCTTTTGAGGATGATCGAAAATAATAGCAACAAAAGCAGGAAAGTACTCCAAGAAATAAAATACAAAGAGAAAACAAAATAAATGATTATGGGGGATACACAATAAACAGTACTAATTTACAATAGAAGCAGAATACGAATAGACATAAAAACACTGTGTGCACCAGCAGATTTCAAATTACGACCCAAAGAGCTGAGTTGATTAAGAAAAACTAAGATATTTATTTAGATAGTTTTACTGTAGAAGTGATTTGCGACGTTGACAAATTTTGTGTAGCTCCATTTTTAATAATAGTGATTTTGAATCTTGTAATTGTTCTCTTAATCTAAAAATTGATCAACAGTATTCGCACCGTGCGTGACCATGGTAGGGATATATTGAAACGATGCCAGCGTGCGTAGCGGCGAAATATGACAAAATTGGAATATTGGACAAAATATTTTTACGAATAAATTTTATCAAAAATGTGTGCAAATACATATTGCGTATTTAATTGTGATAATAATAGCAAAAATAGTGAGTGTAGTTTTTATAGGTTCCCAAAGATTACATATAAATTAGAGAAAAGAAAAAGATGAATTCGTGCTATTAATATGAAAAAGTAAATATCACATAATTTCATTTTTATGCAATTGAAATAGGAAAAATTTAAATAATTTACCTTGAATGATATTTCATAAGGCTTCAAGCTAACTGCAGATGACTTTAGCTTTTATATCATAACTTTTACTATTATTGTTTTTAATTATATGCTCTTTTGCGTGAAAAACTTGATTTGCCAGTACTAGATTTGTCCCTTTCTTTTCCGTTTGGAGTTGAAAAGATATATTATGATGAATTTTGAGAAAAACAGTTTTTAATACTACATTTATTTTGTACATAAACTGAAAAAATATAGTTAAAAAACTAATTTATTAATAATTGTCAATTTCGCATGTATTTAACAATGTCAAACATATGTCATATGTTTAACCTGAAAATTGGGACTCCAAAATTGTCAAATGAAGGCGTAGGTGTCGCATCAGTCACGCACGGAGCGAATAAGTAAAAAAAATGAGAGCTCAAGATCGTGAAATAACAGACCCAGTGTTAAAATTCGCTCGACGAGAAGCAGCTGATGATAAACCTATTAATGACTTTAAAGAGTGTGGATAGCATGACGGGTAATTTGATAAATAATTTAATAAGAATCATAAATAATCTGAGATTTTTGGGTTGCATTTCCATGATTTTCTGTGTGAAGCAACAAAAGTCAAGGAGGGGCGCAAAAATGGAGAAGAAAATATATCCGGTTTTGTCGCTGATATGAGGCGGAAAATTTTTAAAAATAAAATTACAAATAAGGTCTGTTATGTCGACGGATTATTAATTTTCATAAAAATACCCACTGTAAATAAAAATCATAGATTTGTTAAAGAATTTGAGGATAAAGGAGGCAAATAACGTATGCGTTTGGAAATTAGGAATCTCGGATTCCGTTGAAAAAAAAAGAACAGCAATTAATCTATAATTTTTAATGGAAAAACATGATACTAGACACCTACGATTACAGTACTTAAGTACTTTATTGTCTTAACTGCTGTAACGTATTTTCTTTCATGCCAAAGTTGCAGTAATAGTTGTACTGATGGAACGAACAGTGAGCTTAAGAAAGCCGTTCCCCAAGGGACAACGTTTGAACATTGTGGGTGCAGGGACCAAGGCAGGTTTGTCGGATCTTATGTGAGATGAAGATATATGAATTTTATCAAGTACAAAAGGTGGTTAGAAGAAAAATTGTTAACTAATCTACCTCCCAACACTATCATCGTAATAAACAATGCACATAATATCATAATAGTGAAGAGGATAAAGCCCCAACATCTGAATCAACAAAGAGTAAAATGATAGATTGGTTAAAAGCTAGAATTATTCCTGCAGAGAATGGAGCGTAATATGGAGAGTAAACAACTGTTTATAATAGCTAAAGACAGAAAGTCATGCCATGTTCATCGCCAAAGTCAAGGAGAATTGATAAGGCAAGTAATGGACAGCTGGAGTGTGACGTCACATCTGTCATATTGTTGTCATTACTTTCCAAACAAAAGTTGAAATGTCAAATCTCAAGACTTTTTAATTTCTATGAAGTGAATATTTTGCTTCCTCTGCTACTTTTTCTTTTAAGTATGGTGTTTTTTACGATAATACCATCACAATTCAGTGTTCTATTTCTATGAAATATAGTTTAAAAGTATACATTAGGGAAATTCTAACCTTACTTGATTGATGCATGCATTTTCTTGCTAGTTTTATAAAACAACATGCTTTATTATTTACCCAACCTTGTAAAATTGTTGTAGTAACTATTAGAATACTTAGATATTGCAAAAAGCGGAAAGATTCTGCAAAAAAATTAAATAATAACGAAAAATACAAATTATCCACACTAAACAACGTTTGTTTGGAAAGCGAACCTGACAGATGTCAATCAAATCTACGTCATCACTCCGGCGGTCCATACATAAGTAATGATAATTAATAACAATTAACAGCATTATAGTTTGCTATAATTGGCATGAGGTTGTAGATAAATTAGAAAGAGAAAAACTTACCGCAAATGTATTACTATTCCGAGGTAAAAAGATACCAATTTTTGGTGTTATTTTTCTAGCAGTCGCTAATAATTGTGAAAAAGCCACTGGTAGCAACATCGTTTCTAGATCATATACATTTTCCGAGAGATACGACGGTCCACCCCAAGGAGGACTTAAGAAAACTACATCAGCTTTTAGACTATCCGCTAATTGTAGAAAATCTCCGATAATAAATTCGATTTTATCGGAAACACCATATACTCTAGCATTGTTTTCGGCGATTTCTATTTTCTTGGGGTCAATATCGATAGCGATTACTAAAACAGAAATTAAAATATTACAAATATTATTTTCATACTAAATTTACAGCAAAATAAACTAATGAGTAAAAAAACCAAAGATCATATGTATTTATTTTTTATCTACTCCTTTCATTCAAAACGAAAAGAGTAGAGATACTCATAAGTAGAGACCAGAATATTTGCAAAATGTATTTTTTGGATGTCTAGCAGATTTTACATAAATTTCATATCTTTACAAGAATTTGCAAATATCTGCATATTTTTATATAAAAAAATGTATAATGCCAATATTTTCTGAATGTGCCCACCTTTTTTCGAAATTTTTCATTCCAATTTCCAGAGTAATAAAACCTCTGTTTCTTTGAATCATTTTGGGCGTACCTGCTATCGTAATATAAGGTTTTAGGTAAACTGGTAAACAATTAATAACCCTAATATACCTACAAACAAAATGAAACACACATAAACACTTTTATTGGGACGTGTTTTTCCGAAATCCAAAACGGGCGGAAGTGTCGGTGAAGATTTTAGGAATACGTCTCAGGAATTTACATAAGTCTCATTTATGGTTTTCGCGCCAAACAATGTAAACGTGTGTATCGAGGCAAATTTTAAAAGGACATTTTGAAGTGTAATTTTATTACGTAACCCATGGCTTCCTTAATTTTTTATATCGCGATATCCAAAACAAGTGCTTGGATTCAGCTATATCACAGTATATTGCTAAAGAATTCTTTTAGCATTAAACTGTGACCATATACTGTATTAAAACTGGATGAAGGAAAAGTCGATTTGTCGAGCTTACTCTAAAATTGTAAGTAAAGTTTGTTTAGCAGAAAATGGTTGACTTCAATTAGTGCGGTCGTAAATATTATTAAATTTATCTGACTTGATCCCTTGTACCTCAGGTAAACTGTTGTTACCTGAAACCGGGCATTTTATACTACTATCGGTTAACCCAGGATGTTTATATTCGGTACTAGTTGAAGTCAACCATTTACTGTTAAACAAATTTTAACAGTTTTTATTTTAAGATAAGTGTATGCCATTGTCAATGTACGTTTCAGTAAAAAAAACGTCTGACTAAGCTTTGGCTTCTTGTTTCAGATTTCTTCTGATAGAAATTTTTTAATGTATCAGCACCTTCTCATATTAAAAAGGGTGAAAATTTCTTAAAGGGGCAAATTCAAAAGGGCAATTGACAATGCCACAGTGCTTAGAAACTAAAAAAAAACCAACCAGCAACTTTTTACCCAGTGCCTTTGCGATCCCTTGCTTTCTTCGGGAATTCCAATTCCAAAAGTGAACAATGTTACTATTTTTCTAACTTTTGCAGTAAGTTTATTTCACTTTGCAGTCGATGTTTTCTTAAAATTTTAATTTTTATTCTAGTTAAAGTTTGTTTCCCTTTTGCAGTCAATTTTTTCTAAAAGTTTATTCAACTAAATTTTTATTCTTATTAAAAGTACACCTATGTACACCAGTGGTGTCATGGTGCCGGAACACCGTTCCGGCACTGGTTGAGAAAATAAAAAAAATAAATAGAGAATTTAGGATTTGTAAATAAAGAGAAAACGCTCTATATATTTCGATACAGTACAACTGCTTTCGAGACTATATCGAGGCCAATGCACCTTCAAGAGTACTAAAAGATCTCATCCCGTTGTTGAACTGCACTAAAGTGATTCCATGTAGTACGGCAGAATGTGAACGAGGTTTTAGTCTCATGAACCAGACTGATGACTGATTTGCGAAAGGTTTCAAGCCTTATGTTTATAAAACAGCATTGACCAAGTATAAACGAGTGGAATGTGAAACCCTATGTGAACACCTGGTTGAGGAGACACCGCACAGCAGACGATACTAGAAAATTCATTTGTTCAGTTTTTGTAAATTGATTAACTTTTTAAACTCTTAAAAGTTTCCGGCGATATCGAGTGCGAGAGAGGACAAACCGCCACGTAGGCGAATTAGAGGTGGGCTACTTCAAAATGTTCTGGAACATAGTAACTTTGGTATATATATGTAACGATGTTATGAGTTAGTTTAGTTGTTAAGATATTACCGAACTGTAAACTTATAAATAAATATATTTATATAAATTCGAACCGCTCGGTTTATTTAAAAAACGCTACAGTTGGTGTCCGGTGTGAGGATAATTATTATTTAAAAAATAAATTCAGAAGTGACTTTTGAAAAGTATTGTTCGTCGGGAACATCCGCGTAGTTCGGTAGTGATCTTTGTACGAAAGAAAGTTTAAAAAAAGTACCTGTGTGCCTGACCAAAGATGCTGCTAGTAGAACTTTAAGTAAAACAGAGCAACTAGAAGAACGCGATGAAGATTGCAGCGGATCCATGAAGATACTCCAAGAACGACTGAAGACTGTTCTCACCAAGGATGGAGAAGACCTAGGGACATTCCAGTTCCAGTCAGCAGAAGAAGCAGTTTTAACGAAAATAAAAAATGTATCGCAAATGGTAAATAGTAAATTTAAAAAATAAAAAAATCTAAAAAAAATGATAATAAATTTGAAAACGTCTCGGAAATGAAGAATCTTCTAAAAAAACTGATGATAAATTTTAGAACGTTTCCAAAAGATTGGATCAAACGTCTCAAATTATTAAAGAAGTAGTTAGAGATAACGACGAGAAACTCGAAAATGTGTTTTGAAGATTCGACGAGAAATTTGAAAATGTTTCTCAAATGATGGAAGAAACTTCTAAAAAGAACGATGAGAAATTTGAAGAAGTTTCCAAAACATTCGATAAAGTAGAAGAGAATATCAAACAGAGAGCACGATAACCAATACAAAAGTGCTACCACCAGTTAATACAGTAGCCTTAGATCCGGTAGTGAAAGAAGAATCACCGAGAGACGAAACAACACATCATATGAGAATCAAATTGCCACCATTTGATCGAAAGTCCTCTTGGTCCATACACCTTATACAATTTGAAGCTATTGCGACCGCCAATCACTGGAAAGAACAAGAAAAGGCTGTTTCCTTGACTGCTACTTTACGAGGTGATGCTGCAGATATCCTAATATTGATTCCTAAGGGTCAAGAAAAATGTTACCAGACCTTGTTCACTCGACTAGATAAACGTTACGGAGATGCTCATCTATAATAAGTCTACAAAGTACAAATACGAAGTAGAATCCAACGAGCAAGTGAGAGTTTGCAAGAATTTAAAGCAGATGTTGCTCGTATAGCGCTGTTGGCCTATCCAGAGGCACCAGACAACATATTGGAAGAAATTGTTCGTAACATAGATGTTCGTAACATGTTCGATAGAAAGTAGTCCGTAACATGATGCCGAAGAGACGTGAACCCAGATGTTGGAATGGTAATGATGTAGGTCACATTCGTCGTAAATTGCAAGAAAATAACAGTACAGAAACAACAGTGAGAAAGCTAGAACAGATCGAACACTGGACTGGAAAAAGTCATTCAAATGCTGATGCTCAGTCAAGACGGCCATGCAGTGCCAATAGTAATCACTGTCTTAAATTAGAAGAACGACTTTACCCCGTGAGACGAACCACCGTCATTAATGATCAATGGCAGCCTCAACAGCTACAAGACGCTCAAGCAGATGATCCATGTATAAAAATAGTATTGGATTGGATGCGTCGAAGTGAAAGACCTTCTTTAGTCTAGACTAGACCTAGAATTAGAGGTGGGCTACTTCAGAATGTTCTGGAACATAGTAACTTTGGTATATATATATGTAACGATGTTATAAGTTAGTTTAGTTGTTAAGATATTACCAAACTGTAAACTTATAAATAAATATATTTATATAAATTCGAATCGCTCGTTTTATTTAAAAACGCGACAATATGTTCGGATATTGTAATTTTAATTGAATGTGAAATTCCCTTGTATGTTAAACACCACGTTTTATGGTTTATTATAATTGTGTCGTTTAAATTTACAATAAATGGTTACGTTTGTGTCTCCAAAATATTTAAATTAGGCTATGTTGTCTTCTTTTCTCACAATTAACATAAAACAAAAAAACAGCAACAAATCCAGAATTTAAATATTTTTTATTAATCAAATGCATATACATTTTAAAATATGCAGACGTAACTTGTATTAAAAAAACAGAGTAATATTTTACTTGTAAAAAAGTTAAGGAAAGTGCGTTCCGGCACTGCTAATTTTGCCATGACACCACTGATGTACACCTTGTAGGTTCTTGTTCTTTAGAGTGCATTCATTCTACTTTCAGATTGCGCAGATGTTGTTTGCTTTGAAAAACTAGTTTGTGAGTATATATTGGAAATGTCCCTTTAAACTTTAAACTACAGTCTTTAAGATAAAATTTAGTGGCTTTACACTATAACAAAATGTCAAAAAACAGTAAAATTGATCTAGATGTGCCAATAAAAAAAGCAAAATTGGATAAATCATTGCCCGAATTACTGCATTTGGAAGAACCGAAAAAATCTGTAAGTATTTTGGATTTATTGTTTTGTATGCTATTTTTTAACTAATTATCTCAATTAAAATCTGTTTAGGAGCTTTGTTAAATTGTTTGAAAACATTCTGTATTGTCGTAGTCTTTTTTTTAATAAAATTTATTATTCTAATATAGGTATTTCTCGTTTTAGATTGATCCTACTTCAGATGACGAATTGCTCAATGTGGTATGCAACTCTGTCGATGAACCGCAGCCAGTCTTGACAGCTTCAACGTCTACTACCGATTTTAAAAATAAAATAGACATGTTCACGAAAACTCTCCAACAAAATTATACTAACATACATACAAAATATCAAGCTTGGTTAATAATGACGGAAAAGTTGAAAGCCTATAAAACAGAAATTGAAGATTTGGAACGGACAGAAAAAAAACTAGAAGCAGAACTGGAAACAATTAAAAACAAGAAACGACATTATGAAGTAACAATAAACACATTAAAACAAAAAATGTATAAAATTTATATTTCTTTTAAATAGTAGAATTTTCAACTTAATGCTTTTCATTTTAGTAAATATAAGTAG